CCCCCCCCCCCCCAACAAAGACACTCTCCACACGTACTCAGTCTCCAATTCCTTTGCAGTCCTCACAAAGTCCTTTCTCAGCTTTGCTAATTCAGTTGCCGTAAGCGGGACCTCCTTAGTAATAACTTGGGGATGATTGTCACCCTCGTCCTCATACACATACTCCATTTTGATCAGCGGATACATGTGGGGGGGGGCTCTCTACAACCTCTTTGGCTATTTGTAAATCCCCCTGGGGGCAGATCTACCATATCCCTTTCTCCACGAGTGTTGTTCCTACCCCTCACGGTGTAGCCGCTTCCCTTAAAATTTGATTTCTTAACTCATTTTTTGATATTGCGTTTTGGCGCCTTTCCTCCTCCGACTGTTCCTGCAGCGTTTTTATTACCACCTGCAGGGAGTTCACCATCATATCTGTCCGACAGGACCTCTGCTTTTTCTCCTCTGCTGCGGTGGCCAAACTCGCTCTTAACACTGCACAAATTATAGCCTTTCCCTTCCCCCTCTTAACCTTAGCCTCCTTCTGCAATATTCTTATTCTATCCACCACACTCTGTAACTGAAACCAGTGTTCCCTTGTCCAGTCTTCTCCCTGGGGCGAGACTGGTGTGCCTCCAAAAGGTCATACAATTTCTCTGTCCCTTCATCCTGCAAAAGTGCATAATCACAAACATCGGCTGCCTTTCGGGCGGTCATCACCTACAAAAGGGATATCATCCTGAGAGGGTCACACTTCAGTATCCAAGTTTCCCCTATGTGTTCCCAGGAGGCCAAACCGTGTGCTAAGGCAAAGGTTTCCACAACGGGGCAGTACGGCACTCTCCTCTCTGAGGATCCTGTCTGTGACGCCAATTAAATGTCCTGATCTAATGTCTGGGGAGGTTTCAATATGATCCCAAGGACGAGATTAAGACGCAAACGAGGTCAGATGCTGTACAGCCCTTTCAACTTTATTCTCTCAGACAATGGGACAGTGATAGGACAGAGAGAAGGAGGAAGGGGAGAGTCAGAATGCCTAACCAAGCAGAGGAGGAGATGCGATAGGGATAGCTACCACCACCATCGATCCAGCGATGTTCCATGGGTTCACGCCCTCTGAGGGCAAGTAGCCAATGTCCTCAGAGGGAAAGGGAGGAGTGAGGGCCAACCAGCAGCCCCCAGGGAGGAGCACGCAGTCCTTTTATACGGGGGTTCGCCCATGCGCAGTGCCTGTTTTTGTACGTGTGGTACGTGTTGTCTGTGCTACGCGTGGTGGTCTCCTTTCCTGCCAACTCACATGCAAGCGCAGTTTGGTCCAGCAACTCCTCCAAAAACAGGGTGTCGAGGTCAGGAAGTGGGGAGGTGATGCAACAGTGATGTCGAGACAGACACAGTCCAAAGCAGTCCCGTACAAGCACCCAGAACTCTTTTCCAATTGCCACTAGCTTGTTCACATACCTGTGTGTGAACATGTAGCTTATCCATGACTATTTACTGCACTATTTTGTGACTCTGACTTTCTCTGCAGAAATCTTGTTATTACACTGCTACTCTAATAACAAGAATCACATGAAATCAGTGTCTCTCATGAGTGTGGTTGTGAAACAAATGTATGGACAGAGACTTTCCAATGGACTATAATTTTGATACCAGTAACAATTCTGTAACTAGTTTCTCACAACACAAGCATAACTAGCATCAAGCACCAGCACACAAGACCCATTAAGTCCAATCTATTGCTTAAAATGTGTAACAGGAATAAAGAAGGGTTAAAAGCATTAAGTATTCCCTGAAATAGAGAAAATAAGAGGGGTTATATTAACCTCTGAATTTGTTTTCACTTTTTATTTAAAAACATAGCAAAATAATTACAATGTTTGATTAGAAACAATGATACATCTCTTCAGTATAGTGTTATCAGGTTATTTGTCACCTGCCTTTTTCAAAGATTTGTTTTTAAAGGAACACTGCCAACATATGATGGATGGACTTTAAGTGAAATAAATAAAACACCAGAAAATTCACCACAGGCAAGTGGAAAGAACACTAGCTGCTGAATATATAAATATATCAGAGCTCAAAAACATGGGCAATACTTGATGCTTTCTTGTTGCCTTGAGATGCTGTAAGTTATCATGGTTTAAAAGATGCCACTGACATGTGCATCTTGTTTACCATATACTGTGATCTCTATCCTGTTACATATGTTATCTGACCAAAGGCTACATTTCCATAGCAAGTAAAAGCTCTACAGTCTGCTACATAATTTAGACTATGAGAGAGCATCACTAAAGAACATTATTTTGCTACGAAGTATTGTTCACACTGTTTCCTTACAATTTTCTTTTATAATCTTCTTCAGATGATTGCAAGGGGTTTTGCACTCATGAAAGCCTTGTGCAACTGAAATCAAATTTGGGATGTCAACACTGAACATTTCAGAGAAGTATGTGCAATAACATGCATGTGTTCTGTAGCAGTACCCTGACCCTTCTACTATGCCTTGTGCTCTATGGAAGACAAAGAACACATCAGCCAGTATAGTACCCTATGGTATTCTGTGCTCTGTAAACATGCCTATCAGAAGCCAAGTTACCTACTTTGGATGATTCAACAGTCTCATATTTCCTAATTCAATACTTCCATGATTCACATCACTTAACTTTGTGATACTAGCACAAAAATGAATAAATACATGACATTAAGACCCCTGGTGCTAGATTTGCACTGCTTCTGATAAGTGGCTGATAATTTCAGTTATAGTTCTTTTGCAGTTTTCCAGTTTGCAAAAGGAGAAAATAATACTAATCAGTTGCCTAATGGGGTACTTCAGAGACGACCTGTGAGCATGGGTGACTTCTTAAATTCCACAGTGTTATTATGGCTATAAAAATAGGATACTTATGCATCCTCTCTATAACATTACTCATTAAGCACAGTAGTTGAAGTTCTCAAAATTCATGACTGTTGCTGTGGCTTTTACTGCTGTTGATGTCATTTAATGTTGGCTTCAATAAGAAAAAAGTCCTGCCAACACTGAGTGCTTTGGAAATGCTCAGCATGGATTTATTCTGACTAGATTTCCTACTTTATAAAGCTTCCGCCTTAGCGAATCAGTTTACTACCATTTTTCCCAATACAAGAATAGTTATTTTCAATCCTATAAAGTTTCAATTATTGGTAGATAAGAGGAACTCACTGCTTGCTGAGCTGAGCTGAGCTGAGCATGGAATCACTGGAAAGAGAGGGCCAAATCCATATATGTAGAACTGAACCCTAAGGAGGAGATTGCTGTAGACAGCTCAACACTGGAAACAAAGTAGAATCTTCGCCTCTCGCTCTGAGCTGAGGTTGCTTAGCTGCATGTTTATGAGCCCTCCTTTTACTGATGTTATCCAGATCCT